TTAAGTATTTTTTACTATTTATTCTAATGAGCACGTTTTAGTTATCTATTTAAATAAAATTTATGAAGTCCGCATTCTGTTTTCAATTATAATTCACCTACAAGGAAATTTTCAGCCTCGATCTCATTATAGGAAAAGAGTTTAATGCGTCTATTAGTGAAAAATCGGATGTTGTCAGATAAAGACCACCCGACGACTGTTGAGTGTCAAAAAACCACTCCTGATTTTTCTCCTGATTTACGAACAAATTTCTTCTGAAAAACTCCTGTTTTCTAAAATTTGAATTTGGTAACCCTGAATACACTGTTACTCAGGGTGTGGGTGTGCGTGCGATTGGCGTATTGTTCCATATTCACACCCACACCCACACCCTTAAGAGTATTTATCATACTTTTCTTAAATAAGTCGTAGCGTCAATTGTAAAAGAAAGATAAATAAAAATATTATTTAAATGATATTTTTTCATTTTTAGATGAATAATCTTATCGATATCAACTGATAATTATAATTATAGATGAAAGATAAATTAAATATAATTTTAAATTTCTATTACTTGTTTTTGTTACAAATGAATATATTTAAAATGATTTAGTTTCAAGCGGAAAAGAGAAAACAAACGCAGAAAAGCAAAAGGAGCTCATTTAGAAATTAAAAAAAAGTGTTTTATGCTCTGTGTCCATGATTTTCAACACGTTCAAGTAATTCATCGGCATAACCAGGTGAGTAATATCTAAAAATAAAAGAAATAAAATTACTTTGAGAAAATCTTTATGCTTAATAAAAACATACTTGACAACTTCCTCTGGAAAGCAACTATTTATTGTATTGATATATTCAGCCAAAGGTGAACCTTCTTCAGTTTTTATTTCTTGAATCTAAACAAAAGTAAAGAGCTTGTATTAGAAAAGCAGCTTCGAATAGAAAATAAATGCGAACCTTTTTAAGTCCACCACTTGTAACAAATAATCTTCGTGCTTTGGGATCATGTGGAAGTACTTTTGAAAACTGTGCAACAACATGTTTAAGAATATTTGGTGATGCTTCATGTAACAATGGTTCTAATACAGGTAAATAATTACATTTTTGAAGAATATTTTTTAATGCTTTTTTCGATTTTGTTTGTAAATCTTCAGATAAATCTGTACGCATGTATAATTGAAGTAATTTTGGTAAAACATTTGCTACGGCTACAGCTTTGGCATGTTCTGGTGTATGACGACCAATTTGACCTTTAATTATTTTAAATTATTTCTTTTTGTCAAGGAAAAAAAAGAATTAACAAACCAAGTGCCCAAGCTGTTGCTGCTAAAATATGGTCTTCTGTTTCTTCGTTGAGTGCAACTGATAATTGATTAATACCCTAGATTTAGTTTTTAATTTTTTTTTCCTCATTTCATATTAATTAATTTACTTTGGAAACAATAACAGCCATGGCTAAACTTTCTGTATGTGCAGCTGTATAACCAAGCATCATAATACCTGGTAAACGTACATTTCCACGAGTTGATGCAACATAATCAACAACAGCAGCAACTCCACCAGCATTAACAATCATTTGTGCTAACTAAAATTTTTCACAAATAAATTGCATATTATTTTAAACTGTGTTTTACTTCAGGAGTATGTTTAACGATTTCACGTATGAGTGTGGCACAATTCTTTTTCACATATTCATCTGAATCATTTAAACATGCAAAAGCTGCTGGAAATATTTCGGCTTCAACAACCATTTCAGCTAGATCTACTGAATGTTTTGCTATTTGACTCAAGGCTGAAAATATTTGTCGCTATAAAAAGAAACAGAAAAAAGAGAAAGTTTTAAAAAATAAATTGAAAAATGGTCTTCTACCTTTAGTTGAGCATCAGGATTAAGAATCATTTGAGCAAGATGAGCAATTGCTCCAGCATCAACAACTGTTTGGGCTAATTCAGGTGAATGTTTAGCTATATCAGACAGTGCTGATGCCGCAACACGTTTTAAAGCTATTTCAGGTTCTTGTAAACATAAAACAAGTAGTGGAACACTACCAGCATCGACTACATGTTGAGATAATTCTAAATAAATTATTAACGTTAAATGTTTTCGTGAATAAAATTTTCGTCTGGAAAAAATTTCGGTTATTGTTCAGCAGAATCTGAATATTTTATTTCATAATCGAGATTTTTCAACACCGTTTTAACTACGAAATATCTCTAGTTGATTCATATACATATATATTCAAGTGCTCTATCTATCTATCATTCTACTTGTTTTTTAAGCGTCGATTTTTCTCGATCAATAATGGAACTGAATTAGATACTGACAAAAACTATTAGAACTTTGCACGATTGACGAAGAAAAAAAAACATTCTCTTATTGGATACAATGATACGAATCAGTGTACAGTTAAACATTTTTGAGTCTTTTTTTATGTTGAACAATCTAATTAGTTATTATTCATGATCAAATATACTTAATTGTAAATAAAAGATGTTGCTTTGTTTATTTTTTTTTTTGCTTGTATATTTTTGTTCTTGTTAATATATTTATTTAATACAAAATATGTGAAAACATATCTAACCTGCATTGTGTCGTGCAATATAGCCAAGAGCCCATGTTGCTGCTTCTTTAACTGATGGGTCAAATTCTTCTAGACATACAACAAGTGCATCGAGTGCTCCACAATCAATTACTGATTGAGCCAACTGTGGTGAATGCTTAGCAACAGCTCGTAAAACGAAAGCGGCTGCCTTTTTGTAGAATCTCTAAAAAGAAATGAATACATAAATAATGTTAGTTTAGAGAATGAATGTGTTGTTCAATTGCTTATACGTTTTGCTCAGCTAATGAATAGACCAGTTGTGGAAGAATATCGCCACGTACTACAGATTCGGCTAAATGATCAGAATAATTAGCTAAGCGGCCTAAGGCAAGAGCAGCTGTTTGTTGTACACTTGGTACAACATCAAGTAATAATGGACGAAGCAATGCCATGACACCTGCATTTTGAAGAGTTTCAATATTTTGTGGTCGTGTTGCTAAATCAGCTACAGATTGAACAAATGTTAATCGAGCCTTTTGGTATTGCTCAAAAACTAAACATCAAATAGATTAATTAATTAGTTGATAAATAAAACTAAAGAAAAAGGAATAGTTAACCTTGCAATGTATGTCGCTGGCTCATAATGGCAGTTAACGAGGCGACAAATGATGGAAAATCAACAAAACAATGATAACTACTACTACTACCCGAAACAGCAGCAAACAGTGTTGATGTATGTTAGTTACCAAAGAGACCATTGCATATCTGTCTCTATGTTTATCACTAAGCAATATAATTCAATTAATTTATGATCATATTTAGCGCATTAATTATATTATTTAGCATAAAAATGTTTCACTGAATTTATCTCTATGAATGAACTAATTATTATCTCAATTTATATCCTAATGAGACGATAGAGGGCACTATATTCTTGTTTTTTTATTTTTGATAGTAATATATTTATTTTTGAATTAAATACACACTAATACTAATCAATCAGTCCCTTGAAAGATATTTGTATAAGCGATTATAAAATCTCTATGCAAAAAAAAACGATTTATTTCACGAATTTGAAATAAACTTCTCCTTAGAAATACACTGTAGCTGGATCATCATCGTGTACAACTTCATTTTTCTGTTACTATTAATAATTATAAATGTATGAATATCGATATAAATAAAGACCTGTCTACATTTCATTGAGAACAAATCTTAAAGTGCACCATGAAGGCCAATCCCATTACTTCGAAACATTTAGAAAAATGTATTTTATTCTTTGAGAAGACAATCACTACTCACTACAAACTTTTAGTTGTTTTTTAAGCAATTTTACAAGATACTTTTAAGTTTTTTAGAAAATATACATCACTTGTCGTATTCATAGGCTCAGAGATCTGATTCTGTCATTACATTTCATAGTGTTGATTGATAATATTGTTTGACAAAGTCACACTAGTTAGGTGTCGTCGTATGGCGAAAATGTCACTTTGATTCAGATGTATTTGATTACTAAATGAATTCGACGATAGTGAATTATCTTTTGAATAGTTTGTACATATCATATCTATCATTGACAAGGAAAGAAACGGTCAGTTTATTTAAAAAACGATTTTATGTTCAAGAAATTGTTTTTCAAATAATTAACATTTCAATTGATTCAAAAATATTAAAGAAGGATATTTTTTAGTGATTTACTTTAATCTTTCTCATTGACAGCTGTTTGTTTTCTTTTAAAGAAAATACAAACAATTCTTAAATGTTATGATTGAAATTGGTTTCAATCAAATTGAGTTTATGCTGAAGTTTCGAAAACTGATTGGAACGAAATCGATGGTTCATAGGACCGGAAAAGAAAATTTTTATATGCCAACATACAATATCGGCGATCGATTTTTTAATCGATATTTTTTTATTATCTTCAAGAAGAAAAGAAACAGTTAAAATGATAAATTTCAAAAAATGACCAACTATCATATGAAAAATATGCCAGCGTCATATTGATAAGGTAGATCGAATCAATTTAAAGTTATGATATTGAACATAAAATCTATTAGTTGAAAGATGATATATATATAAAGAAAAACGAATTATTTTTAGCTTTATTTTAAAAAGATTTCTAAAAAGAAATCATGTACTTTCATTAATATGAATAAAAGAGAAGCAATTTTTCTTTCAGAAAAGATTTGCTATAATGATTGAAATCATTTTAGAAATGAAGCTAAAATAAATAATCTGTTTTAAAGTAGATGAAATTTTGTCTATGATTGGCTCAAAAAATATGATACAAATTGTATCATAAAAATCAATTAATAGATTTGACTTTACATTCAATAGAGAATATTTTTGATTTTATCAGAAACGATACGATAAGATGAAAAATAAATTTTAGTGTTTAATAAACTTTTCTAAATGTATCCGAATCTGTTTTATTTATAAAATCAAAGTAACTCAATATTTTATTGTAAAAAAAAACGATTAAGTTTTAATTGCTGTTTGTTTTTGATGTTGTTGTTGTTGTTGTTGTTGTACTTGTTGAGTTCGTAAAAAACTTCTACTAATCAAATCTTGTTTACAACCAGTATGACTTGCAAATGGAGATGATTTAGGACGATTCAGTAATTGAGTAACACCAATCTATATTGAAAAGAAAAAGAAAATAAAGTTTTTATTTCGAAGAAAATCTAACGGAAACTTTATGATTGATTTGTGAACGAAGATCATTTATGTTGTTAAAAATTGTACCATTATGATCAGGATGTATGGAACTATTTGGAGAATGCGCAAATGGTGGTTTATTATTTCCAATTAGATTAAATTTTGAAAAGCCAATTCGTTTTCTATGTAAATTAAATGAATATCTGTTTTACTCATAGAAATAATAATAAATAAATAAATACTTGATTGAACTTGATGTGTTACTCGATACATCAGATGATCCTGTACTGGATTTCGAGTGTACATAAAGAATATCACCTCAAAATAATAGTTTTAATTTTATGTTTATTTTGTCGTAAAAACTATTTTTTTTTACTTGATGATTGGTCTATATCAATATGAAACGAATTTCTAAACCATGCTATAGACTAAAACAATAAAATTTACAAATTATCATCAAATAATAAATAATATTTTGAATTATCTTATGAAAATGGTTAAATAAATTTAATTCTATTTTTTTTTCATGATGTTTAAGTGCTTTGAAGTAAAAATATTCTCGACATTCTAGTCTATAATTAATTGTTTAAAAATACTAATGATTCAATAAATCAATATCTTATAAAATAACTGAAAACATTAATTTGTACAGATCGCACTTTGTTTCGTATGGACAAATGTTGTTCATAGTACGATATTTTCAATTCGATATCAACAATATATTTGATTCACAATTGTTGACTAAATCAATGATTGATCGAAGAAGATTATTTCTCAAAAATTTCCTGTCTCTCTTTAGCTGTATGTTTCTTCGCTTATTCAAATCAAGTTCATTGAATCGTAAAGAAACTGGCTACCTAAACATTTGCATTGAAGATTTTGAATGATGCATTCAATCATTGATGGTGACTAAGATACTCAGTCACCTCACTTAAAACAAGAACAAGAAAAAGAAAACGAAGAGTTCTGAGATGTCGTCACCATGACACACACTTATATGTTTGAATTTTGAATCAATTTGTCGATACGGAAATATGTTTGAAAATACTCTTTGAATATTAAAAAACAGACCAGAAGTCAATTTTTAATTGAAACTCGATTGCTATCAAATGCGGCTATATTTAGAAGAGTTCAATAGAAAGTCGAAAATTATTTTCAATGTCATTTAAAGTATGTAGCTATTAAACAAACTATCAAGTCAGAAGGATTATTTGAAAATTTTGATCTTTTATATTTAAATTTTAGAGGCGTCTGTATTTTAAGATGATTGTCATCTAGATCGAATTGCTTTAGGAAAATAAGAATTGCTTTTTATCCTTTTTCTTTCTATACAGATGATCTATTTTACTTTCAATCAGTTTTCTACTAATGTTTCCTTTGTTTTCCATGTCATTATCAGCCATAGACATTACAATTCACTTCTAAACTTAGAATAACTGAAGGAATTATTAATCGATAGAGATTTATTATATTTATCATATCCAGAACCAATTCTGAGTCAATTTTCTTTAAATATTCTTCGATTTAATAATAAAATATGATTCTAATGATTCATCACATTCAATCCTAGATTAATCTGATAGCGAACTTATTGACAGAATTGATGTGCGATTATTTTATCACAGAATTTAAAACATTTTTGATTGTTAAAATGAATTGAATCGTATTTGAATAATCATAATTTCATTTGAAAATATTTTTCAAACTATGAAAATTCGAAAAAAATTCACAGAAAATTCTCAGTCAGTACGATTACTGCCGATCAAAATATTAATTTCAATCTCTAATTGTTATTCTTGAAATTCTTATTATTACAGAAGATGAAATATGAATACGGAATTTGATCAATTCGTTAAATTAAAATAAAACAAATAACCTGTCCATTTGGTTTCACCAAAGTCGTGAGACATTGTGGTCCTATTTCCCATTTTTTTTGTTCTTTCCAAAGAAAAACATGTGGTGGTTGTGGAGTTATATTTTTTGTAGGACCACACCAAATCTTAAAATAAATAAATAAATAAATATAAAATAAGATGATAAAATATTGATTTTCAAAAATATGCTGATTACTGTGACAGTGTGTCCAGCTCCAATAACTGTATTAAATGGAAATCGAAAGAGACCCAGAGGCTTCGTAGAAATAGTTTGTTGTAAATAATGTCCACTTAAATCATAATCATCAGAATTGGATAAATTGATCAAACGAAGATAATCACCATGTCTTGATTCAATTTCATGAATACGAATATTTGTTATTATTCTATTAACAATTGAAAAGAAAATTTCATATTATAAAAAAAGAAAACAAAAAACTTTTACTTCTCAAATTTTGGTATCGATTCACAATGATTTTGTTTTGATGAATCAGAATGTGAACAGCAAGTTATTGGTGTTGTTACTTGATTAGATGCGTCATTTTCTAGAAGAAAAAAAGAAACAATAATTGAATTAAAACAATATTTTTAAGAGAAAAAAAATAAAACTTGTGTCATTTGTTGCTCCTTCAATTGAACATTTAATTGATTGTTGTTGATTAACAGAGTTTTCATCAAGGCTAAAAGTAACTGATTTTGGAGATCTTGTTCTTGATGACGATCGATCAGTTCTTTTTAAATTTGATGAACGTTTATTTGCTGATGAATTGGAATTATTTTCAATAATTGATGATGATTCATTTGATGATGCTGAGTTTAATATCAAATGCCCAGTTCGACGAATCAACGGTGAAGGTTCTCGATGAATAATTTTATTTAATTTTCTTGATTGTAATTCAGCATCATCATCACAATCATCGTCGTCGTCGTCGTCGTCGTCGTCGTCCCATTCAGATTTTGTTCCATCAATTGGAATCATTCTTTTAAATATGAAAATAAATAATAAAGATTTTTAAAATAGAAAGCAAGAGAATAAATACTAACTCATCTTCTTCTTGTTCGATAATTGTTTCATTTAAAACTGTTTTAATATTTGTTAATTCATCAATAATTGCTTCATGTGTTTTTGATACAACTGCAATTAATTCATGTAGTTTATCATGAATTAATTTAATTGATGATAATTTTTCTTCAAGATTATGAACAAAATAAATTAAACGTTTTATTGAATTAGGATTCAGCATTGATTTATAATCGAGAGAAACTTGTTTCATCTCCATTTGTAACCGAAAAAGACGTTTGATGTTTTGTTGAAAAATAAACAATGTGCATTTTAAATGAAATCGTTACACTCGTCTTGAGTAGATTAATTTTTAGAAGTGTAAATATGTCAAAGAACGAAACGTGAATCTTTAACAACAGCAACAAACAGTAACCAACTGTTTCGAGAAAAAAGAACGGAGTAAGAAAGAAAAAACGATCGATTCTTTGTAATTATTTGTGAAAATAATATTTCTAGAAAAAACAACAAGTCGCATATTCAAAAGAATTTTTATGTTTAATTCAATTTTAATTAAAGGTTTATTTGTTTCGAAAAGTTTTCATGAAGCAAATTATTTATATTTCTCAAAATTTAATAAAACTGAATAAAATCTCATATGTTATATTTTATTAATTTTTATTAAATAGAATTGAAAGGAAAAATTAATATGGTCACTCCGATAGATATCAATAAAGTGAATAGAATAAAATTCTAAATTATTTCAAGAATATTTCTCTCTCAAATGCTTTCATTTTAGTAGAAGGTTTTATTCGAAAAAGTTCTTCTGTGGACATTTTTTAGAATATAGGCTTTCAACATGTTATTCTTACAAGAATAAAAATAATTTCAAAATCAAAAAAGTTTACCAAGAAACTTTTTTCGAATCATTAAAAATGAAAAAAATCAACTGAACTCTTTCTTTAATTATCAATAACAAACCATATTTGTTGTTATATAAATACTTTTATGTTTCTTTCATTTTTCTGCAACTGTTATCAATAGAAATAAAAGAATAATATACTTCTCTCTATAATTTTGCTATTGAGATTCTTATATATTCAAGCGCAGGAAAAAAAAAGAAACATTACATGATTTCTAGTACGATTGAGGCAATTACTAGATGAACATGATTTTTTTTCGGTTAACTCACAAAAGATTTGTTTGTCAAAAAAAATTACAGAAGCTGTTTTTAAATCTAAAAAGTTACATATTAGATAATGAAATTCAGAATGATTCAATGTTCAAAATTTTCTTCAATAAGAAAGTATTTTGATTCTTAATAGCAATAGATAAACAGAAATCAAAATGAGAAACAAAAACATATAAGCAATCTTGAATGATTTTTTATTTGCTTTATTTTAGAGTCATTTCATTTGTAAATCTTCGTTTAAGTAATATTCTTTTTTTCTTTTGACATAACATTAATAATAAAACAAGAAAAAAGGTATGTTTAAAAAGAAATTCTTTAATGCTTCCAAAGGATCTAAATGTCTAATTAATGTTTTTCTGATGGTAAATCAATGAAAATTTCAAATCTTTTAATCTATAGAACAAAAAGAAGCTGTTAATCTCGTCATAAAACTATTTTTTATGCAGTTTTTCTTAAATATTAATCTTGCATCTGTGGATGAAGTTTTTTAAATGAAAATAATCATTATAATTAGTAAGACAATTCTGATGGACTTGTATTTTCATTATAGAAAAATCACTTATTCGTATTTCTTCTCATATAAACAATAACGACATTATTTTTAATTATTTTAATTAGTAAATATTAATATTAAACTGAAGATATTAGTTAGCAATAATGACAATATTAAAAATATTAATTGGTCAATAAATATTAATGTAATACAAATGAAAACATAATTATGAAATATTTAAATGTTCTCGATTGCCAGGTGAAAATGTAGTTCCCTTAGTTTTTCATCAATATTTTCCTATATGTAAATTGTAAAATACAAAATAATTAACATACAACAAGATAAGATTTAATTGTGTCAATTGAAACAGAAATATATTCAATTATTATAGAATAGATTCAATTTATATCATTGATAAATAAAAGCCAATAAAATACATAGTCACACATGTGATTCGTTATACTTCTCTTTCTGTGCGAAACTGGTCTGGTTCGTAAATTTAAAATGAATTCAGAAATTATCGATTTTGAAATAACTTATCTATCTGGTAGAGATGAAAGCATACTCTTTTCAGAAAAGATTATTTTATCTCTATACTACTTTCATTATAATTACATTAAACGAAATTTTATAGAATAACTGTTGACGTAATAAATTGCTTGATACTATAATCCAAACAGAATTAGTTAAATAATATCAATTGTTTGAACAAGTGTACTTGATTTTAAACTACTAACACAAATGAACAATGGACTGATCTGATATGCAATTGAACTTTTGGAAAAGATTATTTACAACGAATTTTCATGAGTATCTTGACCATTGAAAAAGATAATCTATGATTTATTAATTTGTAGCCATATACACGGTTTTAGAAATTCATAAATCTGCGGTAAATATTTCTAAGCTGGTTTCCAAGTTTTAAATGATAAATCGAATATTTTTTCATAGTCGAAATAAAAACCTTCGATTCTGCTGATGATACTTATTATAGTCAGAAAAAATGAACACGATATTAAAAATTGAGTTCTGTTTGAAGTAATCATTTTCTTGCTAAAAATATTGAGCTCAATTTTTTTTCTTTTCCTAATATATACTTTGTCAAAGACTACCATATTATTACTATAGTTTCAAATTGATGATCTTGTCACATAGTTTGCAAAAAAAGAATGTTTTGTCGGGGAAATTTTGTCTATGACAAGTTTCATACAACTGTAAAATTATTCATCCACTAAAAGATAAAGTATATGAATTTATGAGTATCGACGTCGAATTTCATTGCTCAGTATATATCTAGTTGTTTTAATGCAGTAGTTTTCTATGTAAGAATTGAGATATTTTTCACTTCAATTAAATGAAGATTTCTCAAAGTTTTGAAAGAATTTCTTCTTCATTGTGATTATGAATATTTCTCGAATGTGATAGACTAAAAGTAATCTTGTTTTGAATGAAAATTTACAAAAATACCATAGATTTGAAATATTCTTTACTACTCCTAGGGCTCTAGTAAAAAGATGTTTCCCGAAAGCATCAATAATGTTAATGATACATTTTATCGACTAATTTAAAATCAATTGATTTCTGCATTCGAACCGGTCGGTTAATTCAATCTGCGTCTAATCTCGTCAGTAATTAATCATTAGCTGAATTATAACGATCTGAAGAATTTATTATTAAAGTTACCATTAATGATTAGAATCGTCAGACTTGAACGACTGTAAATTAATTCAGTTCGATTATCAGATATGTAATTTGATATTTAATTGATTTTTGGAAAAAAAAGGAGTATTAAATATATGGAAAATATGTAAATAGATTAGTCATCCTGATAGAATCTTTCGAATATGGATATCATTAGCATTCGATAAAAAGTACCCACTAGACAACTTCGTTTATCTTTGGAAGATTAGTAGCCTTTTTTTCGTAATCTCTCCTTTTTTAAAACAATACACATCAATTGAAATTTTCTAATAACAGATTAATCAGCAAATATTAATAATAGCTTTAACTAAGTGCGAAGCTCTTTTCCATAATAGAAAATGAGATATTTTGTCTATCATAGTTTTTCTTTCTTCGTTTGAATATTTATTGTTAATATCGCTACATGTCTCGTCAATTTCATGTCATAAGTAAATAGATAACATCATTTGCTTTTCTTTTTTCGGATATAAACGATAGAGCATATGTGGTTTACATGAAAGTGATTATCATCGTTGTCTGTGAAATTGGAAACAAGTATCCAGCTGCTAGAACAAGCATCTATCCGATAGAGAACTTCTTTTGAGATTGCAGATTTTGAGAAACAAATTTGACTTTCGAATTTTAATCGACTAAAAATAATTCTAATGATAAAATACTATGTCAACTAACGCGTTGAAAAGGCACTCCTTTTTATCACGATGACGATTTTTTTCCGCGTGTTGAATACTCTATATCTCGAAAATTCTAAATAAACTATTTAGTCTCACTAATTAATCGATTTCGTAGGTATTACTTAATTTTAATAAGAACATTGGTCATATTCAAATATGATTTATATTGAAAATGAACAATTGAATAGTTAAATAATTGAAATAGGTAAAAGAATGATATTGTTTTTTTTCAAATTCAGTAATTACAAATGTATGTCACATCTTGAATTGAATATCAGTTCTTGATACATATTTAAACGCCATTTTAAATGTTAAAACAATTTCAACTGCAATTTATATCTATAATAATTTATCTTTAATGATTGTTCAATACTGAAAAATCTTTCGTTTTCTATGATTTGTTATAAAAATAAAAAGATTCAATGATGAAGAAGTTGATTACATTAATTATATTTGAAGAATCATTTGAAACATTATTGAAATATAATAAAAATATTTTGATATTGAATTTTTAACAAAATACATAAGAATAAAATTTGTTTGTTTAAAAAACATCAAATTCGGTTTTTGTTTTTGCATTCTAATTTGTAGATAGAAATATAAAACAGAGACGAATAAATGAAAATTATTTTTCGTTAAATCTAATAATTGTGATGATTTTTCAAAAAAGTCAAAACAAATAAAATAAAATAAAATAAAGGCAAAGATTAAAGCAACGTTTATTTAAAATAAAAATGAGCCTTGTCTCTAATGAACGATATTACTCAGTAAATCCTGAAAATGTAAGATTAAATTCTAATTGAACTTCATTAGCAACCATGGCAAACAGAATAAGTTGGTCGTTATAATAAAGGCGATCAACTTCAAGGCAAACAGCATTGCGACGTTGTTGTCTTTTACAATCTTTGAATGTAATATCTTGATCATTGCCATATGTTTCTGGAAAATGATCAAAATTTTTATAATCCGACATAACAATCTTTTGAAATATTGGTTTTAGACGAGCAGCTGTTATCCACCAATTAAAATTATTTTCATCTGATGATTTTGCAATATCTTCATCATATTCAGGTAATAATTGATATCGTCGAAGTTTAAGACAAAGAGAATTCAATGAAGAACTTAATTGAGAACTTTGTGTTTGAATTAAATTTAATGAATATTTATCTGTTTTTTTATCTAATAAATTATTATCAGTATCAGTTGAACTATCTTCAAGCGATATACTTCGTCGTAATGCAAGTGGTGCATGATATAAACGTTGTTTTAAACATCGTCGTTCAGTCAGATAATGATAATTATCCAATAAATGTTTCTGATCGTCACTTTTATATGAATTAATAGTCAAACTACTTGTCATTTCGTTTTATTTTCTAAAAGAAAGAAGAACATAGTTTATCAAGAATTGTTTCAATTAAGAATTCAAATAAAATAAGTTCTACTTTGTCAAAATTTGTTTTGATTGTATTGTAGTATTGAGCGTGTCAAATTATATCATGGTAGTCTCTCATGTGTAAGATTTTTTGAAAAAACCTTAGTTTTCTTTTTCTCTTCAAAGCTTTATTCTTGTCTCTCTTTCTCTCTTATTCATTTTCTCTGTTTTGTCTGCTCTTTACTTTGTTTCATGTGATAGACTGTTTATACGGAAGTTTCATTTTAGCCCACGTATATTTGACTTGGTTTTTTTGTCTAATAGTTAATTTCTCTGTCATCTAATACAGGATTTGAGCATAACGTTGAGAAAACATTTATTATTTAGAAATTATTAATCATGTTTCGTCAAGAGATTCATTTTATCATAGGCATGACTTACTATAAATCACACGTTCTATTCCGTAGCAGACATGACGTAGATTGATGATTTTTGTATTTAGCTGTATACTTAAGGTTTTATTTTACTATTCAGAAATTTTCAATCATGACTAGTTTGACATATTATTTATATCGAAAAGATTGCTATTAAAAAATCTATATCTACAAATTTTATTAATAAACGATTCTTTAGTACAATAACATTCTTACATTTGTCCGTTCAACATCATCTTTTTTTCAAAGAAATTAATGTTTTATGTATCTGCTTGTCCACACACCCCCCCTCCCCTCCTTACTGCAGTATGACTTCAGCATGTTAAGTCTTTTGAAAAAGTAGAAAAACTTTACAAAAAGAATAATTTTCAATGAATTCTAATATCATTACTGGCTATAAAATTAAACAATTTTCAAAACTACTTTATTATCGAATATTATCCATCATTTCTAGATGCTGCTTTATATTATACTATTTCAGTGTATCACAAGATATTGTTTAATATATAATTTTAAAATGATTTACTGTAGAAAAGTGAAGCTTTTATCAAGAAAGCAGTTTCATAAAGTTGATTGAAAGTAATTATAAAACACAATTAAAAAAGGCGACAATTACGTATAAAGATGCGTTAAACTGATGAAAAGTGAAGATCTATGTGAGAATTTAAATGAAAATTTTTCAAAACATGATTGAAGACAATGATAAATTGATTTTCAATCATTGTTTTTTCTGTTTTAAGTAACAGTTTAATCTTACAAGTTCTTATTAAAAACGAAGATATTTTCAATGTCAATAAAAAACCTCATTGAATGTCAGTAGGGAGTCGCTTCAACATAAAATATTCAAAAAAAGCTAATATTTCGACACTTTAAAATATGGTAAATCAGTGTACTTTTTGAAATTACCATAGAAAAATAAATTGAAAACTAAATATTTCATTGTAGAAGATCTCTTGATAGTGCTCAGTTCTTCAATCATAAAATATGTGTTTGTATTTCTGTACGAGAAAAACATTTGCTAACATATTTATTTTTCAATGCTTATTTGCATGCATAATTCAAAATATTCATGATTATTTACGGAATAAAAACAAAAGAATTTTTTGATTATCAAAATTTGTAAGTATTAGCTGTTCTTATTAGTATTTTAAGTCGCAATGACCCTATTCTCAAAATAAAGACATTTTTATTAAGACTGGAAAAGTCGAATATTTGGTTGCCCCATCTCAAAGCGTCATGTCACTTACATTGTAAAAATAACTATAAAATAAATGTTGAAAACGTCGGATTTCATCCGAGAGTTATGTGTACTACAAAAAGTGCATGGGACATATGAGTCATTCTAGAATGTCTGAACACCAAAATTATCATGAGAAACTAGGCAATTTGATATCTGGATGCAGTTTTTGTGCATTTTGAGACATTTTTCAGGCGNAGGGATCCTTCTCATCTTCGAACTCGACCGAGATATTCATGAGATTGAACTGTGTGGAAAATTTCATCACGGTCTGACTCTCCTTTCGAAAGTTATCGTGCCTACGGCCGGACACACTAACCGATTCTAGTGTACTCACTTTTTGAGTACACTAAAAAACGAATTGTCGTTTTTGATACAGGAATTACTTTGATTTCATCTTAAGTGATTCGAGCAGTGAATGGTCTGATGTGCTATGATTTGTTCTAGTTTAGAATTTTTTTTATGTATCTGAAAATAAAAAAACCAGCGTTTTTCCGTTTGATAAAACATAATCCAATGATACTTTTCGTTCAATACTTAATTTTCTTTAGTATTTTTTATTGTGCCTACTATGATTACAGTTAATACTTTCATTTGAATGGATTTATTCTGATATTTCAATCGAGAGAGAATCTTAACGAATTCAGGTCCTGATCGAAACATTTCGTGAAATAGTTTTAATGTTTTGGTCAATAAATGTTTCAATTGAAAAAAATGAATCGATTTCATGAGCATTCAGATCATCCGACGCGAGTAATACATCAGAAAAAAAGCCAAGCCAATGAGAGTCCTAACTGTAATCATGATAGACGAGATCACAAAATGCAAAAAAGCAATTGGAATATTGACCAAAAAGCATGATAAACTATGTGTTTTCATATGGACAGAATCTGGTTTTCGTATTTCAATTATATAAGATAAATTCAAAGCCTATTTGAGAAATTTCTTTGTATAACTAAAAACTTAAGAATGGTATCTACCATTGTAGAAAAAATGATTTGAATAAAACTAATTGACATATTTTGAGCGACTTTATGGAACACTGATCATATCAGAAGAAAAGCTTCATCTTCAATCGGTTGATCATAAACAAATGAAATTTTATTTTATTTTCTTCTTATTTTTAAAAATCTTTCAAATATCTATAATCGAGAGATTATTTATACTGTGTATTCTTTAATTTAATATCAGTTGGGTGATGCTCAAGCTAGCTCGTCAAACTAATATTGAAGATCTAAATGAAATAAATTAAATAGTTTCCTGTGCAGAAAAACCATTAACACCTGAAAATCCATAGAATTTACTAATTGTTTTCTATTGACTTAAGTTTAATCATTTACCATGATGATATATTCTATATTTGCACGATTTTGGATGCAGATACGATTTCTAACAGCACATTAGTGTTCACCGCTATCTATTACAATAAAAATAAAACAACATACTCATTTATAACCTGAGATCTCTCCCCTGTCACTTATGAACAAGTATATAAAGAGACAGGTGACATAAACGTCTAGTGGGTAGTACCCACTGGGTACTATATGAATATGATTTCGACGTGTCCCATAAAAATTTCTTTGAAAAGTTGATGGAATGTTTTAATAGAATTGGTATCAGAGCAAAAACATGATATTATCTACTCTATAAAGTTTATTTTTTTCATTATAGTTTATTTCTTTTGTGAACTTAATAGAAAATTATAACAATAGAATTTTTTTCTATTGAAACATTCAAATTCATGAAAATTTCGACAATCAATCAAACGATCTAAATAAACATAGAGACAAGAACGATTTGAATGGAACTTATCATATAATAGTGGATATCAATTTGAATTAAAGATAAGATATTGTCTGATAGTATAGTGATTAGAGTCAACTGAGGTTTCCTTTAACATTGAATTTTAATCTTTATTCAGTTGTTTAATCTTATTTTAATTTTATTTATTGTTACATAGAAAAACTAATAGTAATGTTAGATTTTTTTCCATTCAGAATAGTCCGAAACTTCATAACACTAAATCGAAAAAATGGAGCTTAGATTTTTCTCTGTTGCTTAACTAGTTACTTATATGAAACGAATAAACTTTTTTCACTGCTACACATTTTGAAAATTTGAACAGTTATCATTAATTAATGGATATCTTCCGTGTTGTTTTCGCGCATACTGACAATAGATGGCACTCTTCGTTATTAATAATATTGATACGATGATAGAATCTATTTTGAAGTGTTAAAATAGAAATTTGATAAATGGAAATATTTTTTTGTCTGATTAGAATGCCCAATTATGATGTTTAATGTCTGCAAACATTAATGAAATTTTCTAAAAAATTCTCCATGAACTCATAGGAATATTTAATTGCTCAGGATGAAATAAGAAACAGGCACTTTCGAATGAAAGAAGTTTTAATCTGAAAAATAAATAACTATCATGTCTATTTGGTATATCTTTTTATAGCTATTTCGATTCTGTAACCTGAAAATTATTTTGTATCTTTGAATCAAGAAATTAACAGGAAATTAAACTGAGGCACCTATCATGTTCTCATTAGCATAAACTCGTTAAATCGATTTACGTTACATCTATATAATTCATATTTTTTTATGGTTTTATGTTGGAAAATCTGTTTTCTTTTTCAAACCAATCGTGTTCATTTATAATTCTATTCAAAAAAAAACATGATCAGTTGGCAATAAGAAAAATATCGTCTTATATTTATTTATGATTTCTGATAAATATAAAGAAATTTTATTAATTTATAGATCATATGTTATCGTTGACCTATCATCGATATTTTCATATCATAACTGAATGAATATATTGTTGACAATAAATTCTCAGTAGTTGATTCTATTATCACAATTGAAGAGAATTATTGAAAAGTACGATTCTTGATACTCAATTGGATAATTTTCAGAAATATTCTACTACCAAGGCGCCGAGCAAGATTTTTGATCAACTTCTTCTTACATATTGTTGCCAAAATAAAAGCTAAATCTGATATTTGAGTAGAATAGTCTCAGTCAGTAAAATGTCTGCAAGATAAAATATCGATTGGGATGTTTCTTTTCAATAGATCAATACAATCGAATAATTTGACAAATCATCTTGAACCGTTACTGTTGTATTAATGTATTGAAATTTTTGTCTTACGGGAAATAAGTTAAGTCTCTTATTCATTATTTTAGTTTTAATCGCCATTTTTTTTATTTAATCATTGAAAAATATTATTTGATAGAAAAAAAAACGATAATACTTTATGAAAACATTAATCAATAGATTTAATAAGTATTAATATTAATTCATAAAGATTCAACTAGATTTTCCTGTTGGGTTATTTCGAAAAATGTTTTTTTCGAAAGATTTATTTAAAACTTTATTAACGAAAAACTGAAAATAAATTTTTTATTTATTTTGTAATTCGAAGAGTTAAACTTATATTTATGTTAAATAAAATTTCTAGAAATTCAATTTCTTTTCTCAAACAAAGTTGTAAGTACTCGTTTTTTTTCAGTAAGTGGTCTTTATTGCAATGAAATTATCTATTAATTAGCTTCATTTAAAAATAATTTTCTTTCTATATAGAAGTATCTATATATATACGATTATCATTTGTTTAATTAATGTTATTTTGTTTTTAATGAGACATAAATAAAGAAAAGAAGTATGTTTGTTGATAAGAATCTGTTGAGGATTACATAGACAAGTTCGTTGATAAATCAAAAGTCAAAATCTGCTGAAAACAAAAGAAAAGAAAGAGTTTTATTTGAAATTGTGTTTAAATGTTTCAAAATTCTGGAAAATGAAAAGTTTTTTCCTAACATAGATTATTTATTGATTTATTTTTGTGTAATCTTAAAGCGTATAATATCATGTCTACTGATGTAAACAGTCGATGCAACGTGCTTCAGTATTCTCTCTAGATGCAATAGGGTAAAAAAAGTAATATTTTTCTTTCTGTCTTTTCATCGCGAAGCAAAAATGGGCGATAGTTAGACGCTATAATGTATCGTGTACGACTGCGATGAAATGTGGCAAGGCCACAGAACAACTAAAACATGCAGAGCAAGGAAAAATAGAGAACAGGAAAAAGAGAAGGGTTATTTAGCAATTTTGTTTTCATTTTATTCGTCATTCTACTTTCAGGGTACATAGTAAGTATTACATATAAAAAGAATTCTTTTTTTCTAATAGAATTAATTCAAATAGAGCGTCGAAAATGAATCAATTAGATACATCTCTAGGCATTGATTGCCTTATCAAACCTACGACCGATATGGTGGAATTAACTTTGGGTGCAAGTAAATATACAGTTGTACTCATTGATATACTATCAGATAAATTGAATTCTTATTAAGTTACATATTAAAAGACTAAGAAATTATCCATAGATAAAACGTACTTAATGAAATTAATCATTATAAAATTAAAATAAAAAAACTTTCGTTCGGTGATTAATGTTGTGTTCAACAAAATTATTGAATTTAAAAAGAATTTATATACTTCATAGATAAAACAAAATACATTCATTATTTTTCGAAGAAACTTTTAATATTTTACATGATTATCTAGCTGATTAAAAAAAAAGATTATTTTTATGAAAATTTTCATAACCGATTAATTTCTAAATTAAATAAGATAATATGAATGAAATATCATTTTACATTTTATAGACCATACTCGTCGAAGACATACCGAATATTTAGCTTATCCTGACTTGGACTTTGTTGAAGAATCTCTTCAAAGCGACTGTACAGGTATTAAAATTGAGAAGAAAATAATTTCGTTTATTTTTTAAATTAGAAAAAGACATAGATGAAAAACGTTCATTGGAACAAATCTATTCAAGACGAAATAAAACGTTTGTTGATGGTCTACCAGTTCAAGTTATTAAAATTGATGCAGAAAGAATTTATAATCCTGTTACAGAGTTTCTTTATCCATATTTGTAAGTACTTAATTGTTTCATTATGGAGTAATTTCAGAAATAATAATAATTAAAAAGAAAACCACATTTTATATTGATCAAGAAATACAAGATAAGATTGAATAATTTATTTATAAAATTAGATATACAATAACAATTCGTCATGGTTCTGCATTTGAATGGACAATTAAAAAACGTTATAAACATTTTCATGATCTTCATAAAGCTCTTTCTCATTTTGTTAAAGAACAAACAGGGCGATCTCTTAGTAGTTTAAACAAGTAAGATAATTGAAAAATCTCGATTTTATTCCATGTAGGATATCTATATTCCTTTAAATACGTTTTTCATTTGCAGAAGTGATTTATCTGAAAAGAAATCTAACAATGATGAAAGTAATTCATTAATTAAAAAACAGGACGAGCGAGCATGCTTTCCAACTCACAATGAGCGCATTGAATTTATTAATCAATTCACAATTGTGGAACGATGTGTAAGATTTTATTCAAATTTTGTATTTTTCTTCAATTTTAATTTATAGAAAATTTTGCAAGATTATTTAAATAAAGTTTTAAAACATGCAAAATTCCGTGAACATATTGCGATGGTAAAGGATTAAAAATTAAATAAATAAATGAAAAAAACTATACTTTTCGATTAATTCAATTATATAGAGAGAGTTTTTGGAAGTGAGCCCATTATCATTTGTACATGGCTTGGGTGTTAGTTCAAAAGAAGGTGCTATTTCTAAACGTTCAAATGATGATTTTCGTGGTCGTTCAATATTTCTTCGAGTTCCATTTATATGTGACAAATGTAAAATGCATCATGGACAAAAATGGTTTATTCTGAAAGATTCATATCTTGCTTATATGAATCCTAATTCAGCTTTAATTGGATTTCCAATGCTTATTGATAGAGCATTTTCTATTGAACAAGGTTTTAGGAAAACTGGAACTAATAATGGTATCAGAATTAAAAATTTACAACGTTCAATGATTATTAAATGTGAAAAAGAAGAAGAAAGAAATGAATGGTTCGAATCTTTTATGAAAGTTAAAAATAAATCTATTCTCATTGAACAACATCCTTTTAATTCATTTGCACCCAAAAGACAACAACAATATGCTAAATGGTTTGTAACATCATTTTTTGATAAATATTCCATTATTTATTGAAACTATATTAACTATTTTCCATCTAAGTCAATTTGAATTAGAATTCATATCTAAACGTGTTTAGTTTGTTAAATTGAGCATATTTCTATGATTCGAATAAGTTCTTCAAAAAAAAAGAATTTTTCTTCAAATAGAGTTTAACAAATAGTTTTGAGATGAAAGTATCGATGAGATTTAGAATTAATATTTTTACTTGAAAATTTTATTTTTTATTAAATAAAAATAAATAAACGTGAGAAAAGAATATTCGAAAATATGTTTCCTTCAGGTAGACTTTAAAAAAAAGTACCATATCGGTAAACAGTTCAATGAATGGCTAATAAATAAAATAAATCGGTGTTGTTTCATGTTGAAATAGGTTTGTAAATGGTCAATCATATATGGAAGCAGTAGCTAAAGGTATATTAGCAGCAAGGGAAGAAATATTTATTACCGATTGGTGGCTTTCACCCGAAGTCATGCTTATACGTCCTTTTGGTGATGATTCAATGCGTCTTTATAATTTACTTGGTAAACGAGCTGTAAGTTTTTGAAAATATTTTGTTTTTCTAATTAGTTGGATACATCGAAATTTAGGAAGAAGGAATTCATGTTTATGTGATGGTATTTAAAGATATTGTACAAGTTGTTGGTTTAAATAGTTGGCATACGAAAGTAAAACTATTGACTAAAAGTCCAAATAAAAAGAATATAAAAGTGATTCGACATCCTAATCATTCAGTCGTACCTGGAACAGAATCGTCATTTCTTTATTCACATCACGAAAAAACTGTTGTTATTGATCAACGTATTGCCTTTATTGGAGGTATTGATCTTTGCTGGGGAAGATGGGATACAGATGAACATAGGTTTGTCGTTTATAATTATATTTCTAAACATATTTATTTATTTTTAACAGATTGATCGATTTGGCAGATAAAAATGTAGTAGAATTGCAGCTTCCAAGTGAAACGACTGGTCAACCTGAAGACGAAGCAGAAAAAGAACAAGCTACTGCTGACACTACACCAGAAATAGCTCAAAATGCTGATCTAGAGAATACTGTAAGGATATTAGTTTTCTTTTTTGCGTGTACATCGTCTATTTATTCAGTAAACATAGTTTTTAATTAAAAAGTTGCTCACAATACTTTTATTGATTAAGAAAAGAAATTCTGAATAAGAATCTACAAGAATTTGAATCAGTTTCATAGAATATTTATTGTTCTTTATCTTAAATGAATAATGAGAGTGTCTCTCGTCATCATTCGTTATTGATTAGAGATAGTAAATCAAAAAAAGGAGAAATATTGTTTCTGAATAATTGTCATAGATTAAGATCTAAATGATACAAATACTTCTGACAAAAAAACCAATGTATTAATAGAACCATATTCTTTGTTAGACACAACAATATTGTGAAATAAATAAATGTCATGGTTAACAATTTTCTTTCTTAACGGAGTTTTAAACGCCAATCGTATGCGCTTCATGACAATGATGATAGAATACAGGTTTTATCAACATAAGAATGATTGTAAACTATTTATGGTTTCATTACTGTCAAGTAGAAATAAAACAGAAAACTATTCGTATTTACCTTAGCTCACATTTATTGCGCCTTTTAAAAACGAATAAAAACAAGTCATAATTAAAAATGCATATTTGTCATAATCGAATGATGCGGCATTGAAAAAAAAACGAAAACGATGGTTCTTATCCCAAAGAATGTGAAAAAGCATTATTGAACATACGTAGTGTTGTGGTATTTGTGAAAGTTTTAATAGATTTAAAACAAATTTAAATATAATTTCCTGTATTGGAAATCTGGAATGGGTTTCTTGAAGTGCTTTTATCCGTTTTTTAGTCTTAAATGAACAAATAGTTAAATGAAGTATTTTACGTAGAATTTATTTTATTTTTAATATAAATAGTTGAATAAAATTTTTCAAAGGTTTCTTCAAAATCGTTGTCAAAAGAAATTGTGAATCCAGCTAAGCTTGATCAACAAAAAAAAGACTCATCATTAAAAGCGAATCAAAATCAAAGTACTAATCTTTACTTCTAAATAATTGTTTATTCATATAAATATAAATAGATGTTAACGATGAAGCAATAACGAATAATAATAATAATTTAACAAAATCGTTAGGTAAGATTTGTTTTTTTTTACATTTTTATTATGATTCTATATTAAAATATTTAAAATTTTTTTTTTATTCAAGAAGTAACAAATTTTATCAATGAACTAAATAAAACCGAAAGAAAACTTCTAGCTCAAGAAGATTTAGCTGAACAACGACCTCATGTATATAAAAATAAATGGAAAAAAATGATCAAAGTATATGATGTTCGATAATTATTTCTGAAATTTTATGCTTTTTATCTTCCGAATAATAGAAAGTTAGGCATCATGATGATCAAGATTCATCCGATGAAGATGAAGAAATTCCACAACACGAACCACTCGATGAAACACCTAAAACAAATATTGGTGAAACACCAGTTGTAGATAATAAATGTCAATATTTTATGGGAAAAGATTATGCAAATTCTTATGAAAAAGATTTTGAATTTATTGAAAAATTTGATGAAGGTTTTTGTTTTATTTATCATTAAACTTTTAAATATTCCATTGCTGTTTTATTTTGTTTTTACAAGATTATCTCGATCGTAAATCTGTGCCACGAATGCCATGGCATGATGAAGCTTTAGTTGTCACTGGAGAGGCAGCAAGAGATTGTGCCAGACATTTCATTCAACGATGGAATATTCATAAAGTTAGTGTTTTTCTTTGTTAAATTAATTCAAAAAATTAATAATTTATTTATTTTTCTTAATTGAACAGGCCGATAAATTTCGTCATAATGAATCGTATCCATATATTCTTCCAAAAAGTTATGATGATGATCAATTATTGGATTCATCAATGCTTTGTGAGATTCTTGGTGAAACACAAAAACCAATTCATGTTGATGCTCAATGTGTTCGTTCGGCTTCATTTTGGTCATGTGGAATACGTACTATTGAACATTCAATACAAAATGCTTATATTCATATGATTGATAGTGCTCAACATTTTATTTATATTGAAGTAAAATATAGTTCTTTTTTTTTCAATTAAAAACAAATATTGAATATTTAGAATCAATTTTTTATTTCAATTGCTGAAGATATAACAATCAAAAATAATATTGGTGATGCACTTTTTCGTCGAATACGTCGTGCTCATATTAATAAAGAAAAATTTAGAGTTTATGTTGTTTTACCATTATTACCGGGTTTTTCAAATGTTAATGCTGTTCAAGCTGTTCTCTATTTTATTATGAGATCAATTAATAAAGGCGAAACATCACTTTTCGAACGACTAAAAAGACATGGTACGTTTTTATTATTTAGAAACAAAAATAGATTTTTCTAAAATGCAATACTAGACTAGAATCGATTATTATTTTATTGATGATTGTTAAAATTAATCTTCATCTAACTTGAGGTTTCTTTTAGAACAAAATCAAATTTTATTTGTCATATAAGATTATAGTTTGAATAGTATTTTCAATCACATTGAATCTATTAGAATAATTGTACCAAGACAAAATCAGTTTTTTAAAGCTCGATAAATTTGATCATTATCGAATCAGTTTATATAACTTTGAAATGATCTTACGTTCGTTATTTTAATTTTTTTTTAATTTAAAATAGGTATTTCTAATCCTGAAGAGTATATAACATTTTATGGAATGCGTAATTGGGATATATTAATGGGTACACTAGTAAGTATTTTATCAAGATTTATTTTAAATATAATATAAAATAAATATTTCTTCAAGGTAACAGAAATCATTTATGTTCATTCAAAATTAATGATTGTTGATGATCGAATGTGTATATGTGGATCCGCTAATATAAATGATCGTTCCCTTCTAGGTTCTCGTGATTCAGAATTTTGCTTAGTTGTTAATGATATTGAAATGGTTGATTCACAATTAAATGGTCAAACACAAAAAGTTGGACTTTTCTCTTCAACATGGCGAAAGAAATTATTCAGGTTTACTTTTTATTATTAGCATGTTATTTTATGTTGAATCTTTTCTTGCTGTTTCATATTTTAAAGACAATTGTTGGGAATTAAAAATGAACAAGAAATGAATGTTGATGATCCATGTTCAGATGAATTTTATGAATATTTTCGTCAAACAGCAAAACGAAATTCACAAATTTATGAAGAAGTTTTTAGTACATTACCTTCGAATCAAGTTAGAACTTTTGTTGATGTTGAAACATACGCTCAACGACCCAAATTAAAAGAAACCGACCCGTTAACTGTACGTTCTATTTTTATCTATTAAATTTTCATTAGAATAAGAAAAATATTCTTTGTTTAATTAAGGCACATGAAAAATGTAAACAAATAAAAGGTTTTATCGTTGAATGTCCATTAGAATTCTTAGTTGATGATGTTTTAATGCCTCGATGGAATACATCAGAAGGTCGAATTTTGAATAAATTATTTTTATTTTAAAAAAAATCGATTGCCTATGTTTGTTTTAGGTATGGCTCCTATTCTCTTATGGACATAGAAGAGAAAATTTCAATTGGCGTTAATAATTTACTAGAAAAAAAAAGAAAGAAAACTTACGTCGTTTTTCGTTTAAAATAAAACATAAAATATATATTGTATCCGCTTTTTTATTTTTGTTTGGTTTTCTGTGCAATTTTTATTTTTACATTTATTCATAACGCGTGCGCATTTATAGGTGCTTTGTGTATTATTAGCAAAAATAACAGACTGGAAAAAAGAATAATCGTAGATTATATGATAAAATTAAATATTATCTTATTCGAATAAATTAATATGAAATTATTTCATTTCTTTTATTCAATCTCTACCTATTGGCTCAATTAATACTTTTGAAAAACAAATTTTTTAATATTTACTTTACAATAGATTTACAATTTTGCATCTCTCTTTCATAAACAAGATTTAAGTAGGAAAGAAACAAATAAGTTTATTAACAACGCGTATTCAATTTCTTGTTCATCCGATAATTCAACGAGCACAACGTTTCGTTAATATGAAATGCAAATATTTAGCTGATCTATCTGTAATCAATCATTTTCTTGCGAACACTCGGCTAGTAATGAAGAAGAAAAAGTATAAATAAATGATGATCATATGACTGGTATTTATTTAAAATTAATTTCTTTTTTTTTTATTTTGATTGACTAATAAGCGAGTGTTTGTTTACAAATCAACATAGCAATGTTGTTATATATGTTTATTCTAATTTTCAAATGGTATGAATGTAGATTTCAGATTTTGCACTAGTGCCAAGAGAGGCAAATATTTTCACGAGAAATAGTTCCAATGAACAAAGCGAAAGAAAACTTTGGTGATTGTTCTGTAATAATCTTGAAATAGAATGCTTAGGAACACCTTCAATTGCTGCGCTCTTTCTGCATTTAAACGTGTATTTCTGTTCATGTTGCTGTCTACGAGGCGGCAATACATATAAATAAATGATCACTAGAAAATAGAAACACATTATGAGATACTAGTTCTCCTCTGAACGCATTATCCAAGAAAAATGTTGTTATAGAATAACTAGATGCCATTGACTCTGTTTAAAAACATTGTATGTTGTTCGTCGATCCAAATAAGAATTTATTTTAGTTCAATAATTTGAAAACTATTAGAAAATATTTTTTAAAGAACGAAAGAAAAAAGGTTCGACCGATGTTTGAAATCGGGACCTTCTGCGTGTGAAGCAGAGACGTGCGCAAGACAGGGTGGTCCTGTTGTCCTGTCCTGCCGCCCGCCAGGACCAAGGTAGCTAACAGGACAGACAAGGACAGAAGAAAAAATGATGTCCTATGCACGTCTCTGATTCATACCACGATGGCGTTTAATAGAAGTATCGTTTGTGTTGAACATTCGAGTAATCTGTGGATATTGAGGTCTAACTTGAATATTCGATTCTGAGATACTACTGGTATCATTGCGCCATCTCTTGGCACTAGCTGATATTGGCGTAGAAGCTACTGTTGGATTAATCATTGATGAGAGAGGCCCATCATATTAACGGCTGGTCGATATGCGGATAAAAATGCTTGTTGTTGAATCATGTTGGAATGTAACATTGGTTGTTGTGCATAACTATGTGCCACGTTGTTATTTAGTGATGATTGTTGTTGTTGTTGTTGAGGTTGATGATGAACGAATAGGCTGGTTGGTTAATATTGATTTACAATTTGGTTATTTGATAATTGTTATACGCAGACGTATGGCTGATTATAGTTAGCCGGCTGTATGTTTGCTGGAGCAGTGTAATAAACTATTTGTTGCCCTTTGGCTGTTTCATTGTTAGAAGCCAGTAGAACATTATTAAGCACTCTAAAAAAATCCGAATTTTCATCGGGCATATAAACTGGTTGCTGTAACTCCATATTTCTATGTGAGTCTCCACTTGAGACGACCATTTGTCACCAGAAACCCCAAGTCGTAGACTTAGATTCTTGCAACAAGGAACCAACTGATTTCAATCTCTGAAATCAAGTTGAAACCAAATGAAATCACATTTTGATTTTGGAAATCAGAAATCACGAAATCAGTTTGTTTCCCCTTGGATTTTTGTGAAAACGAACCACGTAGAAATGAGAGAGAAAAAAAACAGAACAGAAGCGGCAAGTACAAATACGTCTCACCACTGCAAGCGCGAGTGAAGGAATGAACAATTTGTGGAATTTTTGTCAACAGCTTCGTTTTGAAATAGTCACTGAAAGCTTAACCGTTTCGGTCTCAGAAGTATTGAACAACCTTTTCTGAATTGAATGTAAAGACATTGTTTTTCCCCAAAAATTACAAGAAAAGCAGTCTTTTTTTTAAATGCTCAAAAACTATTCTCGTCACGGAAATTTAACGAGTGCATGAGCGGCATAAGCAAGACTAGGAATACCAAGAGGTCTTTCGAACACCTCGTTCTTTTCGAAAAGCTTCACTTTTTGAGCAAATACCATCAGGATAGACGCCTGCGATATTGAATAAGTTTTCGTTGCAATTTGTTTCTCGACGAGACTGCAAAAACCATTTTCACTTGATGACAAAATTCTGTTGAATTTCATACGATTCTATGCCGTTGTCACAAAGTTTAACTTTTTCTCATTTAACTTGACTGGGTGAAATAAAGTTTTTGGTGTATTTTAGTTCCCAGAAAAAAAAGAGCGTTAGCGACGATATGAAAGCTGTTTGATTCTCAATCTTGGTAATATTGGAATAGTTCAGTGCTTGTTGTAGTTTATGATCCAAGAACGAACACGGAAAAGTGGATTTTGGAACTTTTAGTCAGTTCTCTTTTTATCCGTTTTGTTTTGTCTTTTAAGAAACAAATCAAGGGTGTGATAAATGAATGTAATCAAGCTGCAATCGATTATAAGTATTTTCTGGGCGCCAAAATATCGCATCTTCTACATGCCCCAATCTCGTGAATATGTCATATAACTCGTCTTTCATCTTATCAATTGTTGTTTTGCTTCAATGCATTAAAATATGAATATTTCATTCTAAAACCATATCTGATGAAATCAAATTGTTTTGAATTAAATTCTAATAAATTAAATATTATTTTTAAGTAAGAAAAAAGTTGTTCCATCGATATTTAAAATCAGAACTTGCGCATGACCAAAGATAATAATCATTGTATATTTTAATTACTTGATTATTTTATTCCATTCTTATAGTTCATTCTTCTTAATATTCAGTTTTTATTATTATTTGATGCATCTTATCTGATAAGCATATATATGTTAACTTTATCATAGAAAAAAATTTGTTTTTCATTGTTTTATCTGAAAAATATTATGAAAAAGATAAAGAGAAAAACATAGTCACAATATTAAACTATGTCACATAAATTATTGTTATTTGTTTTATTATTATTTTCATCGCCACGTTTTGTTTTCTCATTAGAATGTTACATAAGTGTTATTCCATTTGTACTAAATTATAGTGTAACAATTGATACTCTTCCATCATTTGATAGTTGTACGTTAGTTGATGTAACTGGTGAATGTACATTTACAATAATTTGGTTGAGAAATCCTGAAGCTAGTTTTATTATATTTGGTTATAATACAATAGTGAATGGGAGTAGTTTTTCAAGTGACTCAATATTAGCAAGTGTTCAATATGAATTAGAAGGTGATGAATTCGCAAAAAGATTATCACATGATGTTCAATATACATGTCAATCATCTGATGAATGCAATAGTGGAACAAATCTAAAAAGAATTTTAAAATCTCTTCGAATAGAAGAAAATTTTTCTATCGGTTTTAATTCATTAATTGCAGCAAATGACTCATTCAATAATCAATCAATAAGTAAATGTTATTTTAATCGATCGTCGAATGATTGTTCTCCAATAGATTATAAAAGTTGTCGACGATGTGAGATATCAATGAATTTTTCTGATTCATCAACAAATGAAATATGCGCAACTTGTCCAACTGTAACTCCACAATTTAATTCAATAAGACGTGATGCTATTTTCATTGTTAATAATCGATCACAAGTACTTGATAATGTTCAACTATCTTGTCAAACGGGAGAATATTGCAATTCCATTGAAAATATCTATCGAATTCGTCAAGCTAGTTTTATTTATTTTGATTTCGATCAATATTTCTTTTCACTTCTCTTCAGTTGAAAATTGAAGCAATCGACTTTTGTTTTGTCAATCAATTAAGTTGACTGAGATTATTTTGAATGCATATCTAACATTAACTTACCATCTGGATAGTTCTTAATTCTTGGATTTTCTTGGGATCTGTGCTTCTGTTTTCCTTGTCTGAATGAATACATTGTAGGGACTAGTATTCTTTGTATGAATTTTAACTTTAATTACAACTGTATCTAAAAAATTGTCTTTGACTATCTATTACCATCAATTTTATAGATTCGCGTATGATTCATTTACAATGAACTTTTTATAAATCATCGTCATCAGATTTATCATAAGAAGTAAATCTGATTTCTCTTCATTCATTAACTTTTAAGATCTATTTTTAAGAATTAAATGATCTTTTCTACCAAAAGTGCTCGGTTTAGTATCAGTATGAAAAAGATGATTATTTATTTAACTGAAGAATTCACTCTCGAAATAACCATATATTTCTGATTTCTATTTAACAAACATTCATGATTGAAAAGATATCTGTCGCAATCTCATCTTGTTGTATCTTATTGATTTATTAATGGTCTCGACGCATTTAATGTTGATTTTATTTTTCATGAAAAAAGATAATTTAAAAAATGATATGCGTTCACATCAAATATGATTTTTCTTTTCTATTTTGTCATTGAATCAAACATAGAAAAATAATGAAATACAAGACTGATTGTGTAATCATATGATAAGCGAGGAATAGATAGGGAATCTAGAAAATATTCTCCCAAATCATCCAAGTAACGAACGAAAGAAAGTCGATCAGCAGATAAACAATTTAATACTACTTTATATTCACTGTAAAAATCCGAATTAATAAGGTACCATTCGTAGATAAAAATTTCTCTAATTTCCTTTCGTGAATCGTATTTTATTACGCAGTTCTTTTGGACTTCATAATTTCCTTGCTGTGATCATAAACGCAACATCTTAAAAGTTAGATAAAGCAAAATACATATGAGATCATGATAATGCTAATAAACAGAAATAGTCCGAAAGCATTAACTAGATTTTTAGTAAGAATCACATTTACTTCTACGAGCTAATTACATGCCTGATTCCAATCGAACACCAGAGTTGAAATTCTTCTACCGGCATTTCTCAATGAACGAGTGAAAATGAAAGACTATTCATCAATAGGAGATCGACAAGCTCAAAATTGAATCGCTACGCTAATATACTTCTATTGGAATCGCTGAAATGAAAGAATCAGTTACTGACATTACGTTTATATGCATCATTAACTCGTGGAATACCACGATCTATCATGCTTTGTTCTTTGGTTTCAGTGACAAACGCATAATAACATTTACTAAACATTAATTATGCGTATGAGCAAATGACAAACAACCAGAAAAAAACACCTTATCAATAATCATCATCATTTTGTTTCAGAAAAATTGGAGTAAATGATATTTTCAAGAGGAAGAAAATCCAGATAAAATACTTATACCTAAACAATTATAAGTATATAGAATCGACTTGAATAAATTGACCGAGTGATTTGCAAACAGTCATTATAACTTTCCACTAATACTGATAAGATTTGCTCACTATTTTTTTAAGAAAAGTATTATTTATCTAGGTTTTATAAGTTAATTTAAAAAAACCTGGCAATCTTCTGAATGAATTCTCGATTAACATTCAATATCTGGAAGAACTATAACTATAGACGAACTATTCGTTAACTTGCATTAATGAGAAAAAAATCAAGCAAATGACCATTCATTCGTCCTATTTTCAAATCGATATTTGTTACCAAACTAAATGTTCGGTTGACGTTCTTCTCGATGTATCATGATGTGATTTATACAATAAACTACATGGGTGAACAACGGAGATAGATATTTGTTACATGAGATTCGAATAAAGAATAATTCAAAAAAACTTGCTTTTGTTTATTTTTAATCAATAACCAAAGATTCTTAACAAAAAAAGTCGAACAGCATTAATTAACAAATAGGTACGATGGATAATGTTGTTTAGGTGCTATTTGTCCTCCATGAATACCAAGCCATGTATTTTTATTACTAAGTATTCCGGTCCAAAAACTAATGAGAATTGTTGCAAGAAATATTAACCATTTAATACAAATTAGTAATGGATCATTGTTAAAAAATTGTGTATGAGAAACAAAAACAATACTTAGTTCATTGCAAAGTAATTGTGGGCATGTACAAACAAATAATTTAAACAACATTCGATAGAGTAATTTTGTGTTTGATACATAACAGCGATCAAGAACAACTATTGGAACAATCGTCCATATGAAATGAGCCATCACACAAAAAAACGGAAGCAGAATAGTATCAAGAACATCAACAGTATTACTACTATTTATTAATGTTGAACTATGGGTAGAATTATTTTCTAAAGAGATTCATTGATAAATATATTGATAATATATATCTATAAAGAAAGATTTATACTTGTTTGTCCTATTTCATATGATCTGCCAGTGATATTTCGAAAGAAAATTTGAGAAAATACACAAAAATGCAAAAGAAAAGAAATGCTCATTAACGAATATATAATAACAGTTAATAATCGTTCACGTTTACTTGCATAATGTAAAGATGTAGTTTCTGTTTGCATTATTTTCACCACTGTTACGACTGCCAGATGTATTCAACTTTATATATAATATAACAAACCAATTAGACATACGTGAATTCTTAGTCTGTTATGAACAAAATTAGGCAGTCATGAACGAATATGATTAATTTTCTTCGTCGACAAAAAGAATTAGTTGTGCTTGTATACAACCAATTAAACATTTCGTTGAAGAAATGGCGATTGCTTTAAACAAGCTTATCATATTTTTTTTAAGAAAATTAATTTATTATGGGAAAGAGACCTATATATACGTACATAGAACGACAAATAGGCTCTGAAGTCATTTTCCTATGGAAGAAAATGAATAAACAAGAATGATCTGGTTTACCTGGCTATCATCGATGGGTATTTTAGAAGTAAGAAGACAATAATGTTTCTTTTTGTTTACTTGATTTGTAATGATCAAATAGCTAATATTCTCGTTTTAGAAGTATATCCGATTAGAGAAGTAACTTATAATATTTATTGTCATATGCAAACAAAATACATAATGATCAATTTTAGTTTAAATACCAATATGTAAAATTGTTCTGAACATATACTTTAGTATTATTTCGACAACCTGTGGGGAAAATAAGATAGAAAAAGAGTCGTAGTGTTTTGATTTGAATTCATGCATAGCTTTGTTCAAATAGTTAGTAGCTAAACGATTATTAGTTAATTGATATACTACAGAACAATTTATTTATTATTTTAAAGTTTAAAGTCAATATATGTTTGTTTGTTAAGATACGTAGGCTGCAAGATATTAACATTTATATTTTCTAGCGTTTCTTTTGATCCAGAATGTCTGATTGATAAAGAAATTCAAATTAATTATTTGAGTACAGCGATGTATCAGGTGATTTGAGAAATTTTTATTTTAAGTACTGTTTCTATACGTAACTCTCTGAGAGTCAATAATAATAGATCGAGAATTTAAAGATATTGCAGTTAGACAAGTATCTTTAAATTCAATCTTGGGATACTAATGCTTTTCTCTTCTGTGAATATTCAGGAATGCGAATATTTTCTACATTGTTTTGAAATTATGAAATAAACAAAAACGAATCATTTTTTCTCTTTAGTGTTATTGTACAAACTCATGCAAAGAAAATTATTAATTACCTACTATCATAGCTGACTCAGATTGGAACATATCCAAAAATACTGGTTCTTAGAGCACATTGGGTCCAAGAATTTATGGACTCGGATCCAATGAGCTCTACCATAGAGTACAATGATAGCTCAGTTTTATATCAACACAGAGACTCCACAGTAACACGTCGTGTACACAAAAGCAATGAATTAATCTTTGAAAAATCTGAAGAATTATTTTCAAGACTCGATTATTTTCAAAGCTCGGAGGTGCTAATTTTTTTCGCAGAGTTCGAAAAATTTTCATAGACAGTAAGATTCATCCTAAATGAACGTTCAATATCCAATTTTTCGAAACACCTATTGCAAAATTTCGTTTTTTTTATCAAAATTGTTCACCAGAGAAGGGACGGATGGGTAGCGCGATGGGAACTCCCGTACCCTTCTTCAAAGTAATGTCTGTCACATTAATACGAACGCTAATGCATAAAAATTGTCACAGACAAATAGTCAGAAAATTTTCCAAACACACTTGAAAATGGAGGGGACGAGGTAGACCCTTCCTTCCACACATCGTGGAAGCTGTAATTTAGGAAAAAATTGGCAAAAGAAGTACCGTTGAAACAACATAGTATATGTCTTATTGATCAATCTTTCACTTGACAATGATCAACGCAATGAAAAAACAAAATATTGTCAACAGATAATTGATCGAAACAGTTTACGTAATATTTTCTGTAACTGATGTGAATAAGAAGCTACTTTATTATAGAAATTAATTTAACATTCCTATTTTCTCTCATCCATATACATAGGCGGCGGAGCCACTAGGCTCGCGAGGCTCAAGCCTACGCTAGGTTGAAAGTGGGTAGACCTTGATAGACTGAAACTGGAAGAGATAAATGTTTGGGTAGGTTGTTATATGTAAAATGGTTTTATTCTTGTTCAGTTTTGGGGCTTTTCTAACAAATAATGCATTATTACAAGATCATTTCATATTTTCTCTACTAGTAACTCGTTCGCAATGAAGTATTAGTTGAACGTTTTTGGCATTAAAATTGACATCTAATTCTTAATTTAAGATAGCTGAATTGCTTCTGTACTTCTGTTTAAAATTACTTTTAAATCTTAGACACTCGAATAACATAATTTGTGCCGTGCAGAAATGCGAGCTAAACAAAAATGATTAAAGGACGATCAAAATCGTAAGCTTATAGTTGGCATTCAAAGTGCTTTTAGTCGATTTCAGCCTGACTTCAACTCTATTTCTTTTTAATGGTGAGACTTGATTTGTCCAAAACGTTGAGCCTACCCTAGGTCGAAATCGTTCCGTCGCCTATGTCTATGTAATATAGCGTTCACAGTTATTCGAGATGATTATGTGATTATGTAAAACTGAAAGATATTTATCCTATAATCAATTGATACTGTTCATCTTTGATGAATATTTTTAAATAGTGTTAAAACTTAATATTTACCCAGATCGAATATTCCGACCACGGGATCCCGTAGGATACTCCAGGAAATATGCGCGAAAGTCACCATATCCTGCAGGAAAACACGGGAAATCGCTGGAACATGGAAGCAGTATTCTGTTCAAAAATACGGCCGAACTTTTCCGCCAGGAATTGATCGGAAAAAATCCGAACAATTCCTGACGGAAACCACCGGAACAGTTCGATCGTATTTTTGACCGGATTACTGCTCCTATGTTCCAGCGATTTCCTGTGCTTTCCTGCAGGATATGGTGACTTTCGCACATATTTCCTCGAGTATCCTACGGGATCCAGTGGCCGGAATGTTCGACCTGGGAATTATTCTCTTTATTGACAAGTACCGAAAAAAACACAATGAGTAACGTTTGGATATAAATAATTAAAACTGTAAAAGTGATCAAGAATAAATCGGACGCCATTAATTTAGTAGATAATAAAAGGTTAATAGAAGCGATTAATACATTGATTCAACTATTGTAGAGTCAGAAAAGGAAAAATAACACATACTGTGATATTAGTAGGTCTAACCATTTAAATCGTTAATGGTATGGAAAAACATCCTGCCGATTACAATCGTACGTGATTCCTTTCTTTTCAAAGTCTTAATGAAAACAACTACACTGAGAAAAAAATAAGTACTCTACGAAACTTAAAGAGGTTCCGAGATTTGCAACGAATTCGAAACCCTTTTGCGATGTCGTACGAAACCTTCAAAGTTCCGTATAGTCTCACGAAACCTGTGTCGGAGTCTCCGATATCTTTAAGAGTTTTGTGAGACTTTACGAAACCCTTGAAGAGCCTTGAAGGTTCCGTATGATAAAGAAAAATGGTTTCGAATTCGTTGCAAATCTCGGAACCCTTTTAAGTTTCGTAGAGTGCTTATTTTTTTCCAGTGTATGGCAAACAATGCTATTACTGAGAAAGGTGAAGTCTTATTAATGCTGACATACATTATCAAGCTTTTTTCAAAGTCAATTTCACACTATGCTTTTTCAATAATAGTTATTCTTATTATTGGTACTAAGACAATTATTAATCGATGATTCATAGCCTCATAAAACCAAACTTTCGAAAACTCAGTGTTTTCCTTTTATGACCAAGGGGGAAACGGCGGATTGCGGATTTTTTGGATTGTTCACGGATTGGCAATCCCGAAAACCCGCCATTTCGTCCTTGGAAATATGAGTTTTTTTGCTATCGCATTATCTTCAGAAGAAAACATCCGTTTGAGCTGGAACTTTTAGGAAATTCTAAGGATCACGAGGCCTACATATGATAAAAACTTCAATTCGAAATTCCTTCATTTACAAGAGGAGATTGCTGGTAAATTTGTCATTTTTTCGGATTGCTCATGGATTGGCAATCGCGAAAATCCGCTGTTTCCCCTTTGTTTTATGACACTGTTGTAGAATTCCAGGTCAAATAAACCACGGAAATTTTTTTTTCGAGCTGGGGATGGCGTAGTGGCTCTGCATCTGAATTCAGAGATCAGAAGCTTCGACTCCTTCCCCCAGCATGGTGGTGGCGTCATTAGTATAATGGTGCACGGTATCGGTGGAGAAGGTGACCAATCACTTTAATATATATGTCGATCTTAATGACCTTTACCCTCTCTTTGTGCGATTCTTATATGTTCTCTCTCTTCCTCTGTTTGTTATCGTCATCCGATCCTTTTGACTCTTCACTACTATTTTATCTTCTGTACACACGTGTACTGTAAGGGCTCATGAAGCCGTCAGTTAATGCATAATAATAATAAAAAGCGCGTTTTTTTGTAATTTTTTTCTCCATGGAAACCACGATCGTTTAGGACCGTATACAGAGAAATACGACCATCTACTGAGGCAAAAAACGGTCGTTTACTATTCCTGTACATTGCGTCCGTATACGATCTCCATTTTGCTTCATATTTTATCGTATATGGTCTTATTTCTCCGTATACGACACGGAGATATACGATCGTAATACTGAGCTGTGTATTACGGTCAAATATGATCATATACGGAGTCACACGGCGCGTACACGACCATTTACCATCGTATATGGACTCTGTAAACCTCGACCTGGATGCATTCTTAAAGGTGATGGGACATCAACAACTTCTAAGGGGCATTGCAAAAGAACTTATAGCAGGCACCAAAACTGAAGTTCAATGGGCTGAGAAGATTCAAGAGAAAACAACTGGCTTGATTAATGAAATCCAATAGATCAATGTTTAATTTTTGTTGTACATGAAACAAACTTGAGAATTGTTCATGAGAAGGATGTAAAAGATGAACTCGGATTTTTTTCTTTTCAATAAATTTAAACTAGAAGATTAACAACTGATGAAAAGAATGAACTATTTGCTCTCATATTTGCTTCTTTAGATAGATATCAGAGGTGTCCACAGGGTCAATTTTAGTGCCGTGCCCTCCCCTGGCAGGACAAAGATGATTTCCCATGTCACACAAACCGATTGAAAACCATCGGTTAACCGCGGTTATGCAAGTCATTTTAGAGACTTTACAGTGTAAAAACCGACGGTTAACCGGATAAATAACCGGTTAATTGAGGACGAACCGACTGTTTATCCGGTTAACCGGGCGCTTAACCACGGTTAACCGTCGGTTTTTACACTGTAAAGTCACTAAAATGGCTTGTATAATCGCGGTTAACCGATTTTTATAAAAATGAACCGCGGTTAACCGATGGTTTTCGATCGGTTTGAGCGACATGAGTTCGAAATTTTTGTCCAGCCCTGTCCAGTCACTTTGGCATGACATCGCTGCTATGCTAATTAAGAAGATTTTTTTTCATGCTTAAATTCAAGCTCAAGTAATTTTTCTTATTTGAAAAATAATGCGACAAATAGATAGATGATTCACAAATAATAAATTAGTCCTAATTCAAGAGGTGTATGTGATGATTTTGCACCACCACTGACGATCCACACTGAGAAAACAAAATAGCACCGCACGGAACCATTTTGAAACGAATTCTAAACTCTCAAAAATGTTTCGTAAAACCCTAAGATAGTCTCAAAATTATTAACAAGAGTCCAGGAAAGTTTTTCGAAGGTTTTGTGGGAAATCTACGAAACCTAAAAAAGGTTCAGAATTCGTTTCAAAGTTGGAAATAGGGGTGCAATAGTTCAGCTCTAGTTCTGAGCGAAGGATCTGTTCGAAAGTTCATTTCGGTAGGAGCTGATTGATTTGAACAGCTCATTCTAAAAGAGCTGATCAGATCGAACAGCTCTCGTTTCTGAACTGAACTTTTTGAACAGCTCATTCTAAAAGAGCTGATCTGATCGAACAGCTCTCGTTCCTGAACTGAACTTTTTCAACAGCTCCTTTCAAAAGAGCTGATCTGATCAAACAGCTCGCTCTCTCTCTCAAGAACTGATTGGCATTATGCCAAAGATAGTGTTTTTGGCATTATGCCAATCAGTTCTTGAGAGAGAGAGCGAGCTGTTTGATCAGATCAGCTCTTTTAGAATGAGCTGTTCAAATCAATCAGCTCCTACCGAAATGAACGTTCTAACAGCTTTTCCGCTCAGCTCAGCTGAACTTTCGAGCTTGAGCTGATGCACCCCTAGTTGGAAACCCTGTTCAAGTTTCGTAGTATCTGAAAAACCATTTTAAAGTTCAGTGAGAAAATTCGGAACCTTTTATGAGTTTCGCACTGAGGACGAAACTTTCTTGGTTCCGTGTGCTGCTTTTTATTTTCAGTGCATTAGTAGATATATTTAACGACGAGAGAATAGAAACTTCATTTTTTATCACCAGGAGAGACAGATGAAATATGAATACATAAATCTATCGACGATGTTAGCGATGTATAGTTTTATTGAAATCATAAGATGAGCAACTATTAAAATTATGCATAGATGTGCACTATTATAGCTCCTTTATTATTTTGTTTTGTTCCCACTTTGATTGAACTTCACGGTCATCACACGAACACAAATATAATCATCTGTTTACTATTTAATAACGCCATCTGAAGTTTTTTCAGTTTCTTTCATGTTTTCGAGAGAAACAAAAATTGCTGTTATTTTCGAACTGAAGTACGTGCGTGCAAAATTTGCAGGGCATGAAGATATAACCGTGCCTTGTGGACGACTTTGATAGATATTCATGACTTAAATAGGAACGTATCCAACAGATCATTTATATTTTTCTCCGTTGTTCTTTTTCTTATGACACACTCGAAAGAAAATATTCAAATATATACTGGTTCTGTCAGACTAGAACGAAGAAAAACAATATTCAACAGAAATAATGAGATGAAAAAATAAAATTTCAGTCAATATTTTTATATCTAAAAGCAAGAGTTGGTTTTTGCATTTCATAATGAAAACCAATAGTAGGTGTCATTTTAACAATTTCATTCAAAACACATTCAATAAATTGTGTTGTTGTTGCTGTACCACCAATATCTGGAGTTTTGATATTATGCTCTTGAATTGTATTTAAAACAGCTTTTTTTATAACTGAACAATGTTGATCTAATCTGAAAAATATTATTTCTTTTCATATATATGAAAAGAGAAAATTCAATAAATTTACCCTAAATATTTCAGCATATTGGCAGCAGCAAAAAGAATACCAGATGGATTTGCAATGTTTTTTCCGGCAATGCCTACACCTGTATTTCTAGTACCTTGTTCAAATATAGCATAATGATCACCATAATTTGAACCAGCAACGAAACCTGAACCACCAACAAGACCAGCACATATATTTGATACAATATTTCCATATAAATTAGGCATAACCATAACATCAAATTGTGTTGGTCGATTAACTAATTGCATACACGTATTATCGACAATCATTGTATCAAACTTAATATTGGAATATTCAGCAGCTACTTCTCGACAGCAATCAATAAATAGACCATCACTCAATTTCCTGTTTACAAAAAGGAAAAACCAATTCTCATAAATGATCAATTTATTTGAAAATCTTTAAATTTGATTTACATTATATTTGCTTTATGAACAGCTGTTACTTTTTTTCGTTCAGCATGTTTGGCAATTTCAAATGCAAAACGAGCAATTTTAAGAGATTTTGCTCGTGTGATAACTATAAAATGAAATAAAATAAAAATGATTTATTTTTCAAATAGTACAAAATATGAAAATTAACCTTTGAGACTCTCAACAACACCAGGAACTGACTTGAAAAAGAAATCAAGATTAAATCAATTTAGAAATATATAATATGCATACTAACCTCATGTTCAAGTGAACTATATTCACCTTCCGTGTTTTCACGAATAACGAGGATATCAATGTCGGAATGACGTGTAGGCACGACAGGATTTGTTTTACAACGAACCACATTAGCAAATAAATTAAGACGCGTACTAAAGTATATTATATATTAATTTTCATATTGTTCTTATTGATGACAAGAAAAAATAAATATTACCGTAACAGAACATTAAGAGAATTTGTTGTATTTTGTGATGCAAGGTTACCTAGTCACATTAAAGACATAGCTATGATCAAATTTTCTAAGAACTAACCTTTAAGTGCTACTCCATTACGTTTAACAGCCATAACAGCTCTTTCAAACATTTCATCACTAGCTACATGACTTGTCAATGGTATATCCTCAAAATCAATCGGTGCTCGTACACATCTGAAGTATTAATTCAATCATAAATTCAATTATAAAATGTAAAAATGTTTTCTCTTTTTACCGAATAGTAGCTTTAACATGTTCCATAAGTTCGGGTCCTACACCATCTCCATGTATTAACGTAACTGTATATTTACCACCGTAAGCTGTTCTCCAAGGTGTATTTAACTAGAATGCATGCATCAATATATATTAGTATGAATGTAAAAATCAACTACCTACATGAGTACTCAACGATCGTTGTACATACACAATCGAAGAGAATATATGACGGGTGTTGGTTTTTAGAATAGACTGCATTTGTTTAAAAAAAAAAGACCTAAATACACATTATCAAAATAAATATGACAGGAAGCAGTAACAATAAACAAAAAAATAGGTAACGAATGAATGAAAACCAATCGTATTCTATTCGTTCGTTTTTTCTTCCATTAGCCATCAATAGTTATCGATTGTTTGGTTGGCTTATTTTGTAGGACGAAGCTTACATAGATGCCGCATTTTTCTATGTAAAAATAACTAATGAATGAATTCGAATTTCGTTCCATGGATTTGAATACTTCTTATGTTACTCTTGTTGACTAAACTTCACAATCATAAATAAATGTGCAAATACTAAGAAATACTAAAATATAGGCGATTATTGTATGGATATTCATTCGTAGTATTTTTTGTACATTATCATTACGGGTAACAATTCAACTATTTATTGATAACGTATGTTAAAGCATCGTAGACAAACTACAATAAAAAAAAAACGTGAACTGTATCGGGCTCCAGAGAATGTTTTTAAGCGTTAGCGTTTGAGTTATATTAGTGCAATAGTCAGACATTTATTCGAAGCAAGTTAATTCATGAAATATTACATAATAAACAAAGATGTGATGAAAAAACTTCTACCATTCGCTCGATTTTCAATGAGTTTTAGTGATTGTTCACCATCTTTAATAGCGTTTTTACTCAAAATATTGTTATTTTTGTTTCCGAACAAACATACAGAGAAATATGTTTTATTACAATATTAACTGTTCACTTTTTAGTCATGCAATTACTTTTTTTAATCCCATAAGATTATCAAGTATCGACATCAATTAGATATTGCTAAACTATATTGACTTCATTGGCAAGAACAACTGATTTGTGTTAGTGTTGCTATAATAAAACCTTTTCAAATTCTGTTTTATTTATGATGCGTCTCAAAAAAATTTCCATAACGACGGCTCTCGTATTGACATTCAGTGTATCGTTACCAAATGATATGATTTTTTTAAAGGGTTACAAAGAAAGAAAGAAAAAATACGAGTTGATGAATTGCATACCGACACAAACAGAACATTGAAAATTCTACACGTGTCATTTTAACTTTTTCTTCACATGCAAGTGGCTAAAACATTGATGATTGTTTATCTTGAATCATTCGGTGACTTTACAGGAAGAAAATATCTCGATGCTAGTTTGGCTAATTTATCGGTTAAAACTAGTATATGAAAAATTTATGGTAAGCGACTGAATGTTTTAATAATTTCTTTTTTGAATTAATTAGTTTTTGCATACATGTGGAAATCTAACATGTGATTTGTTTTTATCATGTTTATACAGACAAGTTGTATTCCTGTCGAATGGAAAAGTTTACTTCAATTATTTGAATCAAAGTTTTCCGTCAATTTCTATTAGAATGGGTATTGGTTCATTAAGTTCTTCCAATAATCAAAGTAGCAATAGCAATAGTACAACAATCAACGAGTCAGATCGAAGACTGTCACTCGATTTTCAATACATTGATCAAAATAAATTTATAAAAAAAGAAAATCGCATTCGTTTTCGACCAACAGATACGATTTGTGACATTGCCAACAGCTTTCTAGCACTTGATGAACAAGATGAAATCTCTCCCGATAAAATTGCATTGGTGTCAGTTTCTCTAGGTGGACGATGCTGTGAGGTACCTAAACAGAATGTTCGCATGACGTTGCACAAATTAGGAATCAAAAGTGGATCGCTGTTATGCTTTGAACCATTGAAAGTTGGAAATCGTTGCAAATTATCGCAACTAATATTATTTTCACCAAATTATAATGAGACCGAAAACTATGAATGGGACGAAAGATTGACAACAGTTAATATTCTTCTTGATGATGTCATCCATATATTTTCTTTGGATTGGGTTAAACGTGATTTTATCCAAATCTGCACGTTCTCTAACGAAAATCTCAATCGATCAGATAAATTAGGAAAAAAATTAAGTGATTTAGGTCTGAGTAGTTACTCGTCAATATTTGTCACTATCACGAAACTTGACTTTTCCTATGATAATAAACAAGATGAATATCTACGTGTTCAAAGTAATGCACATGGTGAAATATCATTTTATGCGTCACTTACAGATACTCTTATCGAACTTAAAAGTCAAATTTTACGTCGGTTCCCACCATGCTATTGTGTTCATGTTGAATTTAGTGATGCAAAAGATGTAACCTTACTTGAAAAAGATTTGAAAAGAAAGTTAGAATATTTGCTTGTCAAGTCTAACACTATCATTAATGTAACTGTTACAGAGGATCTTCAAACAAAAACAGCGGCAACTATTAATCAAGAAACTGAAAGCTTACCATTACCATCGGCGAATACGGAATCCATAGACCGATCTGTGACTGATTTTAATATCAAATATGGCAGTAAAATTTATACAAAGGTGATAGACATGCAGTCAAACATTCCCGCGACGATACGCAACCAGATCAACTTGTCAGCTAGATCGTTGAGTACGTGTCAAACTGATTTAAAGCCACTTGGATTAGAAAATCTTGGTAATACATGTTTTATGAATAGTGCACTTCAATGTCTTATTCATATCGCAGCGTTGACTGAATTTTTTTTGGATGGTTTTCAACAAGTTCATACATCTGCAGACCATGCTGATGCTTACAATCCATTTGATTCTTGTGGAGAAATGACGGGAGCTTATGCAGAGCTAATCTGGAATATGCGACGAACCGATCGTAGGGACCTAGATTATAATCGTTCATTTAAACCAACACGAATGAAGGAAACAATTGGATATTTTTCACCTAGTTTCGCCACATCAGATCAACAGGATGCTCAAGAATTCATCACGTTTCTGCTAGATGCCATACACGAAGAATTAAAAGAAAAAAATAAAGCCAATCGAAATACAATTGTTCAAAAGCTCTTTTTTGGAACTTTACAATCTAAAGTGACTTGTCTTAAATGTAATCATGTCAAATCTACCACAAACTACATCAGTTTTCTGCCAATATCACTAAATCATCAACAGCGAAGATTTTTAGTAAACTTTGTCACGAAAGATGGTACTCAAGAACGTACTATGATCAATGTAAATAGGGATGGAAGAGTTGGAGATCTGGTGCAACAATTTCTTGAGTTTTATCACCTTTCTCATCTATTTAATCGAATTATCGTCATAGGAGGACTGTCAGAAGGGCAACTTCAATTCGATACTCTCCTCAAACAATTATCTGAAGACGAAGTAACACTTATTGAACACGACGATTACATAATTCGTATGGAATCGAATCGATTTGATGCAGAAATCAACAAGTTGAGACTTGAAGAATGTCTTCAAGGATTTATTTCACTCGAAGAACTTGATGATCTATGGTTTTGTCAAGAAAAAACTTGTGAACAAAGCACGACGGCAACCAAACAACTAAGATTCAACAGTCTTCCGCGTGTAGCTATTATTCAACTTAAAAGATTTTCATATTCGAATGGTTTACGTCGAAAATTAGATACATTTGTAGATTATCCTACTGATGAACTTGATCTCAGTGACTTATTGTCATCATCGAACAAAGAAAAGGCCATCTATGATTTGATTGCTGTTAGTAATCATATTGGATCTATCTCTAGTGGTCATTATACTGCATATGCACGACAAGAGCCAAATGTAGATGAATGGTACGAATTCGATGACGCCTATGTATCAAAGATTCATTCAACCTGTAAAATCGTATCAAAAGATGCCTATCTTCTTTTCTACGTTAAACGGACGAAATAAACTTAATTTCAATCAGTTGACTTTTTCCGTAGAATTGTACTTCATGAGTTGAAATCAACTACATTCAATATGTCTTCCAAAGTTCAATGATCAATCATCATTCAACATAGATATCATAAATGCACAAATTTATATAGTAAATATTGAACGATAAAGTTACGGAAGCTTCAATCCAACAGTTGCCAATTGAGTTTAAATGATAACAAACAAATAATTTGAATTTAGTTAGTGCAGAAAAAACTTTTCTCTTTCAATAGGAAATTTGTTTGAAAAAATCAATTCGTCGATATCTGGCTACTGAACATTCTTATTGAGAAATATTTTTACTATTAACAAAAAACCAAACTTTTAAAAATAACTCTGAAATATGTGATCTTACGAGTGAATGATACATTTTTCGAAAAACACAATTTGTGTGAAAAGATTATTTGCATTATATTTATTTAAACTGCATCTTCGAAAATATTTTACTAGTGAAATAGTATTAATCGAGAGCTGCTTCTTTCTGTGACATTACTGCTGGGTTTCGCCGAGTTTTAAGGATAGTTTCAATAACAAAAGTACGAAAATTCTAACCTTCGGAAGGTTAATCATTTTAATGAGATCTCAGAAATGATCAGATAATAAATGATATAATAGAGAGTTGTGATGATCCGACAACATCTTATGATTGCCATCTGTTATAAAACATGCATCGGACTATTATCTTTGTTATAAAGACCTTTCTTGCGACAAAAAAAACGAAATAAAAAATAACTGTATTGAATTTGATTGGGTCATTAGCGGAACATTGTTACATGCTTTGCAACCGATAGAGACAAACAAGTAGCCATCTCAATGTATAGACAATTAATTTTGATTTTATTGTAAAATATATTCATTGTTTAGTTTGGTTTTTTCATGTTTGAGATGATGGATTTATCTTTATTTATGGTAAACTTATATGTAAATAATGAGAACTAAACTCTTTCAATAAAGATCAAATATAGGTAAATGAAATTTCCTAGCGACGTATGACCCAGTAAGTTTTTTCAAGAAATTTCAACACAGATTTTTTTTTCTATCACAGTAATAAGTTAGAGAGGAATCATTTATTAAATTGCTTTACGATCGGTTATCATGTGCCTTGAGATGATACTCGACATGTATCTAGAGTCATGACCGTGAACTGCAAAGCATTATTAGTACTGAACTTTTACGTATTTTTTGTCAACGTTTAATGTGTTTAAAGGGGATAAATAAAAGATGACACTCAACATCACATGGATGAACAAACTATAATAGCAGACTTCTACAATAACTTTTCAATATACTTTAATAGAACTCGGATCACATCGATAAATATCATTATTTTTTCGACAATTTGCACCAAATATTCAAATATCAGATGATTTTTTCCTTGTGGGTGAACGAAGTCTTTTTTTTAATTTTCTTACGCAAAAATATCAATTTAAAAACTAATCGAAATGCACTGTTTCATGTTGAGAAATGAAGATATTGTAATTCAATAATCTTTTTCCAGAAAACTATCATCACATAAATTATGCATAGATCCAAAATAGAAACTAACATTTCATTGAAAATGAAAGTGTCAGTTAAATTTTTCTCAATTTTTATTTATTCATCAGTATACAATGATAAAACCAATCGTTTCCAAATAAACTTCAACACAAGTACGCATTGCACAAATTTTTCGAAAAGAATAAATAAGTTAAAATATTTTTATAATGTATTGATTTCACCCATTATATTGATACGTCGATTTTGACATTTTTTCACAGAAATTTCTTTCGCTACCTAAAACTATTTCATAGAAATCTTTTATCCATTTAAAG